AGATAGGGATATAAATAAATTAATGCAATAAATTTGTTCTTTTGACATTAATAATAGTAACAAAATTATTTTTTCTCTTAGTGATATCTCGCTAATGTTTAGGTGTTTGACTCGTAGGTTATAATTGCATGAAATAATATTAATTATTTTTTTATAAAAAATGCTTCTAATTATAGCGATAGACAAAAGCAGTTCGAGGTGCGTTAATGCCGCAAAGCAATCAACAAATTAATGACAAACGAGATCATGTAAACACGCAGAACGCACGATGTAATTGCATTCGCTCCTTTGATTCTGTCCTAGTTCTGGGTCTATTTAACAATCGTGTGCATACGCAGTAACCGTGTAAGCATCTGCTTGCAACATTCGACGCGCAAATTGTTTTAACGCACTCAATAATCGACAATTTATGCGAAAATAGAACCGACGTCAAAATAAACTCGTCTCAATTTCCACGTATACATATATCGCGCGTGCAGTTTTCGAAAAGGTCGTTTTACTTTTTTTTCTTTTTAAATAACTCGCGCATGTTAGGTTTTAAATAACGTGTTGAGGCTGACAAACAGACTTGCCGTGATTTGCTCTTCACGGATGTGTCAGCTCGGATAATTCTTTCGTTTATCGCAAATTACGGGACTCAAACCGCGTGGAAAGTTATTGCGCCTGTGGCTGACACGGAAAATTCACGGGTTAACGTTATACGGACGGTAACGGGATAGTACAAACGCGCGTTTACCGTATACTGCTTGTCACGAGCATCATGCGGCGTAGTAATTATGTACGTGTATATCAAAATAGAGACAATGCAACATTTACCACGCATGATTGGCAAAGCCTGCATAATGCATTGGGCAAGCCCAGGTGCGCGTCGATTGCGCACGTTGCATTTATATGCGGTTATCGTGCGCCCCAATACAAAGAGCCGAATAAGGCATACACGCTAACCAGATATTCTACTCTTAAACAGGTGATATTGATTTCAACAGGTCAGGAAATGCGTTGCAATTCTAAATTTAAAGTTTTCGCTACTTTCGATTAAAGTACTATAATATGTATAATAAGAGATGAAGCGCCAACTCTACCCCCACTCTGCCATCGCCGCCATTTTGATCCCAGATAGTACTCCGCTCTTTAAAGAGTATTAGAGCACCACACATTTACAAAAACGTAAAATTTGTTTAAGAGGATTATATTTATAACACATAAGTTATTTAAGTACAATATTTCCTAAAATCTTTCGGGAATTCGATCGGGAATCAAAACAACTTAAAATCTTGCTTTTCTTTTACTTTGCAGCCACTACCTACACAGTACTTCGTCATCTAAAATAGAAATTGAACAAAGAAACGAGTTATAATGAGAATTACATATTTGTGTGCTGTTGGGTATAAATAAGGTGCCCAGTGAAGTCTCATGCATTTATGTTTTTCTACTTACCGTGGTTACAAAAATAATGTACCGTTTTATTCGATCACAATTATAAGTTTTATCTCTATGCGCGAAACTGTAGGATCAACATGGCGACTGTGACCGACCAATCAGCAAGTAGGAACAAGTTGGCGCGTCTCTTATTATCTAGGATTCTATTTTCGATGTCCATCGATGTCGCCGCGTCATTTAAAACATCTTACGTTATTTTATGTGCCATTTCCTTAATTTCGCGAATGATTTCGCGTTTTCGAGTTTACGCTCTCGAGGGACAGCGGTCTTTCTCGGCGTGAGGGAGGACAGAATCATCAACCGCGCCGAGGGATATCGACAAATGTACTCCCAGCTTTGCGATACCTGTCTCATTGTCAGTTGCGTCGCGCCCATTTGTGGCAATCGCATCGCGAATTGCATCGACAGGAAGCGATCGAATACGGCGCAATGTAATTCGATCTCGAGACAGCCTGATGCTGAACTGGTTTCGCGCCAATTTAATTGGCCACGTCATTATGCGCCATCAACGGCTGTACCGGCGCGGCGCGGTAGCATTGAACGGACGAGATTGAAAGAGCGCGAGAAAAGTTGTTTGACGGATCGCAAATAGATCACGTCGATGAACGAACGTTCTATTTCTGTCAGATTACCAGCGATTTCGGGTTTGATTGACGTCATAATAGGATCGACGATCCTATTCATGTCACTCGCTTTTGCTCCTCCTCTCAACGGATTGACCTTCTCGCGTTACGTATCGATATATTAGAGTATCAGCTAATGATGTCCGAAAACGAAATAACACACGCGTATCTGACGCCATTCCGGTCTATCAGACTGGAAATTATATTTGGTCGTCGTCGCAGAAAGATAAGGGCTAACTATACAAGTTTGTTTTCGTTCGGTTGCTCAGAACGTATGATTGTTTGTGGAATCTTACGAGGAAACATTTCACGCGGTATATACACTCCGTGACGAAATTATAAAACCAGTCCCTATTTAGAGAATTTTATTATATTGAGAAATTTTAACTCCATTGTTGGTATCGGTGGTATTTCTATGTTCAAAACGTTGCTGTACGCCATGTTTTAAGAAGTATATACAACAAATACAACCACAAGTAAGCAAAATATATATTGTGACAAAATTATAAAATCATTTAACATTTTGAACATTTATTTTGTACTATGCTTCGGGCGGGAAACGGTATTAGATCTACGAGGCCTGTACAAAAAGTATCTAGCCTGATTTTTTTTCACGCTAACGAAGGATGATGTAAGTATGGCAACTGCGCGTACTCGTAGAAGGGACCTACCTGTTACAGACTTTTGTAAGCATTCAGCGGCTGTAAGTCGCACGAAAATATCTGCCATTACAGTATACGTAGCAGACTTAACTCACAAATGGAAAGTGGCAAATAGCGCTGCACCCCGCGCGCTACTTTATACCCGTTAAATTAATTACATTTCACGAAAGGACGTGGGAGAGAGATAGCAAAATATAGTTTTAACGAGGAACGTTTCAGAGTGGCGCGATGGGTATGCGCGGAAAGCGCTGCAATATATCGATAAAAAGTTAAATAGTGGTAAAGCGACGTGTACCGACTCTAAACGAGTAGTACGCAATATTTCTTTTTCTTTTCACAGTGAAGTAATTGTATAGTTTAAATGTTTTATTGCGTTACACCGGTGAGCTATTATGAAGCTTTAGTATTGCAACACGGATGGAGCGAGCGAATTCTTTCACTGGTAGCAGGCGACTTCTGCTTTAAAACTCATTCTAGACACGATTACATCCCCACGATAATCAATTCAGAATCTCATTATTTTCCAAAGTTGATCCGCAATCAACGAACACCCTTTCGCGAGTTTTGCGTAGAAGTCATCTCTCCCCTACGATGAACCACTGCCTCCTAATTTCCCCTGGGAACCTAATAAACGAAAAAAGTTGGACAGCATGTAAAGGTGAAAGGTAACGAGAATAATCGGAAATTCGTCAAACACGCGTAACGGTTATCAATTCTAACGATAGATTTTCAATATCGATCGAATTTTGAATAAAGCGCGATTGTTCCTGTCTCGGTCGGCATTTATCGAAAACGCATCTCATAATTTATGGCCCGTCGTGTTGACCTCGCAATATCGCGAATTCGCTCGCTGCGTACACCGCGAACGAAGAACGGCAAAAGCAGCGCAATGACACAATGCGAGTCCCGCGACTACCTTCCGCCTGTCTCTGCGGGCCGCGTATAGCACCCAGATTATGTACGATGCCATTATAATAGCGGGTACGCACACACCCGCTATGGTGGATGCACCCCGTAGAAACAGATGATACAGCCCGAGCAACGTAAATGCGAGGGCCGTTCCACCCGCGACGTATCTTCCGGTACGACGACGATCCTCCTGACAACAGAAATATCGCATACGCATATTTAATAAACGTTACTTACGGGCAGGTTTTATCGCGAATATTCGTTTTGTATCTCGTGGTCCAACGCGACTTTAAAGCATAGTCTACAACGTGCTCTTTTAGAATTATTTTTATCCGCTATGACGTGTCTCGTCGTTGGAGAAGACCATTGATATATGCAAACATCGCCATTTTTAAACATGATTTATCTTACAATGCAAATAGTACGCGATATAATAGTGGGAATTTTTTTTAGAAGATGATACACATTGCTTTTCAAGACCATCGCATCGTTTCAGTCTTTTCATTCATATTTATTTAACTTAGCTCAAGGATATGTACTATACGAGGAAACCTGGAAAAGTTTAAAAGTTTTAATTGAAATAGTCTAAAAGTGCTCCCAGTAATGTCGTTGAAACAAAAGCAGAAAAATCCTCCACTTTGAAAAGATAATTTAGATGAAAGAATTTTATTCAAATAAATTCCGCCTAAATTGTTAAAGGGAACATGCACGAACGTTCTGTGTCGTGTTCACCAGGCGATAAACAATTAACCGGCAAGCGATAAAGCGTGCGCTTCCGTTTCGGAGCAGATGTGCGAAACAAATTACGCGCGCCGCTTTACGAAGACGCGTATTTAGCCCAGAATTCATCTATTTAACCCCGGTTTTAACACGCAGCGTTTGCAAGCGACAAGCGTGAGCATTAAATTCTCACGCGGGCGATCGCGTCAAAAGTGACAGATTCATTTCCATTCTCCCCTTCTCGCGTGCGTTAATTTCACCCTCTTTAACGTGCGATGGTTCACGTTTTGTCTCTCTTTTCTTTTTCCTTTTACTGAATCGCGCAGCTGCGATAATTCACGTGAATCTAATGCGCTTACACTTGGCGCGAGACACTACCGTGTCTCGTGATCTGACAGTGCTCAAACACCTTGCTCCGCGCTATCGCATTCAAATTGTATTTCCACCGGACGCAGCATGAGATAATGTCCATCGAGCATTTTACTCGCGAACAAGTAGAAACGATATAGTCGAACGGTAAAATCTAAACGTGTCCTTCTCAGTCGTCGATTTAAAATTCACCGCATGTAGCCAAACGAGATGATATTACGGTATAATGTATCTGTTGCAGCAGTTATTCTGCGGTTATAAGATCACCGCTGCGAATGATGTTCTTTTGGAAAACCAACCGATTGTGCGAGAGCATTAAGGGTGTCCCTCGACGAAGCGTCCGACGATCTAAGCGGCATGGCACTGACAGTGACATACAATTTATTCCACTATTAACCCAGAGGACACTTTGTCACAAAAGTAATCCAATTTGGTGATACGTAGCACAGTCTGTCGCCGAGTCATAAAACAGTCTTTGCCATTCCGGAGAATTTTCATCCGCGATTATAAACGCGTCCCTGATTACAGCAGCTTAAACGGAATAGAAAGTCAGTAATTGTCACTCTGCAAATTCGGCATTTAACGTAAAAAGACTTAACTTTTAAGGGGATGCTAGAGTGTTTCTGCACTTTTGCACCTTTCTAACCTAGAAACTGTCAGTTCACGGAAAC